TAAAGAATTGGAAGAATTGACAAAACAAGCATTTGATAAAAATGGTATAAGCTATTAATATTCAAAATATAATTAGAAAGTATTTACATTAAAACCAGGGCTGTGTAGTCGCGTAAAAATTTACCGACTCCGGCTAAAACACTAAAACTCCACGACTCCGACTCCGACTTTTCCTTACCAATCTGACTCCAACTCCGACTCCACAGCCCTGATTAAAACTTTATTATAGAGTATAATATAATACAGCAGTGTAGTGACTGGTAAATTTGCCAGCTATTATTATTCAATTATTCAGTGCCAACTATGTGGGTTCATTCTGTGGATCAAGGATTTCTATACACTTAGTATTTAATTTATCTACAAGGACTTTTTTATTCTATTACTAGGACTTATTATACTGGTGTAATAAGTCCTGTATAATAAGTTCTAGTAATAAAATAAAAGTCCTTGTAGACATCATATGTTTAGTATGTAATTTGTCTACAAGGACTTTTATTTTATTACTAGGACTTATTATACTGGTGTAATAAGTCCTGTATAATAAGTTCTAGTAATAAAATAAAAGTCCTTGTAGACAAATTATGTACTAAACATAAGATAAGGACACAAAGGCATATTATTTAATATTTTGTATTTAATTAATTTTAATGTTTCATGGTGTATTTATCGATTTAATTTTTATGTATTTCCTTATTTACGTTTTATTTATATGCAATCATTTTTTAATTTTTTTGAATATTTTTGAATTTATACATTTGTTTTGCAATATATTAATGTTTGGATGATAAAATTTGAATTTGTATTTTGGAATATTTTCATCCAAATACCATTGTGGCATTCCAATATGTATTCTACTGGAAGAAGGTTGTTAAAAACACTTAAAAACGTTTTAGTTATTAAATTTTTGCTGTTTGTTCAAGGTTATTTGAGTGTGTTTATTATCTTTGCAAGACAGCTCTGATTCAGTAATAGAGTAAAATGAAATTAATTTTTAATTAATGAAATTATAATCACAGATAAATGGATCTGTATTGTAGAGATAAAGTTCCCTGAAGTATACAATTGTGTTAGAATGAATNAAGTAAAAAATTTATTTAAGGTTCAAATTTTAATGTTATTTTACAATAATGTTGCATTAATGTCCTGTCATAATGTGGTGTATTCAAAATTTCTATTAATTTAAAAACTACGTGAAATATTTACATATTATAATTTTTAAATATTAAAAAAAATTTATTGCAGTATTGAATAAATAATTTCAGAAATATATGATAGTCTATATATTTAATGAAATCTAAACCAGAAAATTTTAGACTTCCAGTTATGATAATTTAGAACATATATGTTGTTGGCCGTAGTCATGGCAACCTTGAAAGACAATAAGTTCAAAATGGAATGCATTGGTATAATCACTATAATTTAAATTCTAGCAAGTGAATTTTAATAAAGTTTTTACCACAGTTTACTGAAAGTGTCTTCTCAGTGGGGGTGAAATATCTAATTCTAAAGTTCAGCCAGAAGCTCGTAATTCAAATTCGATTTCTGACTGGAAGTTGATTGAAAATTACAGTTTTTAGTCCAGAAAATGACACCAAAATCTCAAAAGTTTTTCAATTTTCCTTTTGATATACTGGCAGACATCACTGTAATGAAGTCCGATTTATCGTTCACTTTTGTTTCGGTGGATCGATCGGGGCCATTTTTACGTTATTATTTTAAAATTTTCAAAAAATATTAGGCCTACTTGATTGTTTTCTTATCCTATAGTCTTCCAATAACTAATGACACACGAGATATCATTATTTATAATAGATATCCACAAAAGAACACAAAAATCTCAGGAGGTCGAATTGCAACATCCTTCCACGGGATGTGGTCCGATTTAAGACCATTGACCAGTATCAACACACTCAGGATTTGGCAGCCCGCATGCATGCATCTACCACATGAAATAATAAATAAATTAATTAAAAGAGTAAAAATTTCCTATCTAATATAACTTATGACATTCTAGACAGATAGTGCATCAAAGTGAACAGCCAAGTAAAATATTACAGGTAAAAGCATAATATATTGTATACTATTATGCAACCTTGGCACTGAAAGTATTAAATTAATCATCATTTAATATTGTTATTCTGTAACATTATTATACAACATTGTTGTAATCTAATGCTGTTTATTTTCTTTTTTATGGTTCTAAATTTTAAATAAAACATTTTTAAAAAATTAAAGTATTTAAGTTATTTATTTATTATTATTCTGTTTTTATTTTAGATTTCATAAAGCAAGTTGAATCAGGGTAATTATCTCTTTATGTTTTTGGTAAAAAATAAACTATTAATTATATATTGAGTGCTTATAGTTAAATCTGTACATTCTCACATTTCATTTTTTTAATTTAATGCTTTCTTGAAGAAATAGAAGAAAAATTTAAAAAATTATCTCAATTACAAATGATATGATATATAAATTATCAATGTAACAAATAAAATTTTTATATCATGTATGGTTTCTATATTAAGAAATCCAAATGTAATTAATTTATTTAATATCTATTTATATTTATATATATATAAAAATGGACATGTGTGTCCCTATATTTCACTTTTTAGCCAAAACTACACATCGCACATGAATGGTGTTTGTATGTGGTAGTAGCCCCAAGTCTCCATTCGTGCACTCAGGTGGTTTTTTGTGTTTTTGCGGAAAATCGAACATATTTTTAGACTCATGTAAAAACTCTCTAATTAGTCTGGAAATGGGAGACCTAATTCTTGCATTCTGTGAAAACTGGTAAGATTGGCTATAATGTAATTATCTTAATCTTCACTATCGTTACTTTTTGCCCACAAATAAAAACCCAGCGAAGCGGGCCCTTGCAGCTAGATTCTAGATTACTTAGAAAAACAGTCTTTTATATATAAAAAAAACGATATTACATACAAATAAAAACCCAGTGAAGTGGGTCTTATTTGTATGTAATATAATATAATATTAAATAAATTAATTACTAAATTTCTTTAGTAAAATTTCCTACATGTTTTTTTTGTTTCCAACAGGCATTATTAAACTTTTATTTTTTTTTAATTCATATTCATTTTGAAGAATAAATTACTTTTTATTATAAATTATTCTGGATGATAAAATATAATTCTTCTGTTTTTCTTTTAGTATTACGTTATTAAAAATTAACATGTAATATTTTACTACATTTTTTTGCTGTTAAATTGATGTGTTATATATAAATATGTATCTGTATTAAGCTAGGTTCACAATATCATACACACCACTACAAATGAACATTAACAAAGAGAAATACTGTTTGCATCATGCTATGCTGAACAGTTAGAATGCGATTGCTCAAAAAGGTTTTGTTTACAATCACCACTTTTAAGGAAAAAGTTAATTGGTTGAACAAACTGAAGTTTTGTTAAAGTTGAGGATACTTTCATCTCCTATCAAACTAGTTGAACAGTCACCACAAGGACACATACTGGCAATTTGTATCCATTTTGTAGCAGTTTATATGCCAATGTGAACCTAGCTTTAGAGTTGATAAAGAATTTTTTTAATGCTACAAGTCTGAAATTTGGAAATTATTTGCAAGATTCAAAATGTTCTAATTAATTAAATTAAGCAATTATTTATTATGACATTAAAGATTGCAGCCTGGCATTGTGATAATCATCTTTTATTAAAAATTTATCACCTGACTTCCTGGCCTCCAGTCCCTAAGCTTTTCATATCCGATCTCAATTTTCATCTACCTAACTCCATTCTTGAGATTAATTAATTAATTAATGGATGACAGTGGGAATGTATATGTGTGCAATTTAAAAATTGCAGCCCAGTAATAATTTAGTCTTATTTATAAACAATCTTATAATTAATTAATCTATTTGTAAACAATAAAGTATATATAAGACAAATTAAAGATAAGTTTTTCTTGATTGTTTTTTATATTGAGAACTTGAGAACTAAAAAACTTAATCTACAAAAATGAATGTTTTCACTTTTTCATGGAAAATACTTTTCAAGGAAGGAGACAAAGACCAACTTTTTTTTATGAAGTTCTTTTTACTCAATACTAATAATACTAAACTAATAATAAATAATTAAACTAATAATTTAAATTATTATTTATTTAAATAATTATCCATAATTTTCTGAACTATTTCTTTTTGTTTTTAAGTAGGCTTGTGAATTCATTTCATAGAGAGCAAATTTATATCTGTAGAAATTTTTTCATTTTACAGTAGGTTTTAGAATTACTATTTTAAAAATTCATTTTATTTAATTATATTTTTAGATCTTGTTTTTGGGAAAATAATTGTGATAACATGAAAACAACTGAACATAATTCTTCAGTTATTGAAAGTTCATTAAGTCCTACTAAAGGAGAATTATCAGCTGAAGAATCATGGGAAAATGCCAATGAAAGTTTTTTGATTGAAGCCACCCAGTTAGTCGAACGATTGGAACATAATAATTTTTCTAAAAACAATTCGTTAAGTTCGGTATGTGAAAAATCCGAAGGATTTAAAAATGACATAATGAATCAAAATACTCCCATACCTAACAAAAGTACTGATCATAATTTGCCACAAGAACCAGAAATGAATTTCAAAAAATGTGACGAAAAAGATGAATTTTGGGAAAGCGATAGTTCTTTAGAAGAAATTATTGGCTCGTTACAAGAAGATCAATTAATTATGCCAGGAATAACTTCTCTTTCTGACAATGTACAAAACAAGTCAGAATATTCTAGTGTAGATTTGTTTACTATAAATGAAAGTGATACATCAGAAGCAACAACATGTGTCAAAAATGAACTTAAAAATGTAAATGTCAACATTAAAAATTCAGTAAAAAATGGGACAAATGAACAAATTTCTAAAAGTAATACAAAAGAGAATGGAGTCTTAGTCAACGACACTTCACCTGAAATGAAATCTAAATTATTCCAAAGTAAGTTTTAGAAAATATGCATAATTTAGATATTATATCAGTAATTAGAAGTAAGAATAAGTCTTTTATTTTTCAAGAATTTTAAATAAACTTTTCATAAAGATACAGTAAAATATCTTTTATTAATCTGTTAAAAAATATGACAAAAAAAATTGAAAGTGTGTGTGTAAGATTTTTATAACTAAAAATTAAATTTTGGTAAACATTATAAACAGTTCTGAACCAAAATTATGGTATGTGTAAGTAATGAAAAATTAAATTAGTTTTGTTGATTTTATTAATAAAAATATATTAATTTATTCAATATACTAATTTATCAAAATTTAAAATCAAGATGGCAGAACTAAAAATTTTTACGACAAATGACATAGTTGTGTTACAGCTTTCTGCAAATGTTTTAATGTTTAGTTTTTGTTTTACATTATATTATCAGATAGAGAAAGAAAATTAGTTTAGAATCTTTTTATTTTTTAAGATTGTTTAATATTATTATTTTGTATAGGCTATGAAAAAAAAGAAGGATCTAATTTAAAGTTCATTGTTCATTGATTGAAATATTTTTTATTTTTATTTTTTTAAGTCAAAACCAGTAAAAAGTGTACCCCTGAAGAAATAGCAAAGAAAAGAGAGGAGGCAATGAAGCGAAGGCAGAAAAACATCAAGAAAGTGAGATGAAATAGAAATAAGCAAGGTTAAGAAGTGAAATTTTTCTATAGCTATTTGAATGATTAATGAATTAATCATGAGTGATACTTTTTCATTGCAAACATTCAAACCTTTCATATACTTTTGTATATAAATTGTGTAAATTTGTAAATTTTCGTTGACAAAAATAAAATATTTTTTAGTATTGGAAAAGTTTGGTTACATTTCTGATAAACATTTGATTTGTTGATATTAATTCAGACTAATCTTTTGTCTATAAATTTTAAATTATCTAATTGAATATAAACATGGTATACTCACTTAATACATTCTTTTAATGTAAACTCACTGTAACACATTAGGTTGCCACCAATTGACAATTGCTAGAGGAAGCAAATACCATTGTTTTTATTTTAGGACAGTTAGTTCCTTCAGATATTCTTGTAGGTGAGCATAACAACAAAACTTTCTACAGTTGCTAATTAAGCAAGAAGTCAAATATTTTTTACTCAAATTTAAACACAAAAGAATTACAAGTAGCTAAAAAAATATCAAAATAAAGCCACAAATGCTTAAAATCACTTAATTAACAATAAATTAAATAACAATATAAATTTATCAAAAAGTAAAAAGTTAATTTTTAATTCTTGAATTAATTGCAAAACATACTGCTGCAAGTTATAGAAAGATATCATTGGCATGGGAACAGAAGCAGGAGTTGACAATGTCAGCTACAGATTTGGCGATAGTTATTAAAATCCACTATGAGTCATTCATCATTGAATAACTCTAAGTTTTGGAATTTAATGTTTTACTTCAAGAAAAGAGGAGGATAATAAGACACACAGAGTATTGAATATTAAAGTTTTAGAAGCACTTCTTTTCCTGTAACAAATGTATGAACGTTTTTAGAAGATCACCACGACAAGTTTTTGCTAGTCAAGTTGAACAAGTACAATTCTAAATTTTATTCAGCATACAAAAAATATCAGAATTTAATCTATTGATAGTTAATTCAAAATTTCAAAAGTACAAATTATGCAAATTTAATTTGATTTTTAAATCATTTACACGGTGATTCAAATTAGAAAAAATTCTCCGAAAATTTTAGGTTTTTATTAGGGAATCGTTATATTTGATATAATTCATTCTCTGCATAACAATAACAACAAAATGTTTTTTTGTTGTTACTAATTTAGAACAGATTGGTTTGTATTTTCTATTTTAAAAAAAAGTATCTTTTACTATTTTACTAAATTAAAATTTGTTTTTAATCTATATGAATATCTTGAAAAAAATAGGCACATCAACAAATTTTTAACATTTTTTAAAATTTGAAATTAGCAACAACTTGTTTTTGATTTGTATTTTTGAACATATTGTACAGTAGAAAACTATACAAAAATGTGTTACTGTTAATTTCAAATTAACAATATATAAAAACTTGCCAAAGTACAGCTTATATCTAAAGATATAATATCAAATCTTAACAAATATTCATTTTTATTTATATTTGTAAGCAAATTTTTAAAACTAAGTTTCATATTAATCATTTTGTAGGTACTGTAGATATGAAATTTCTATGGCTAAAGTTGTCAATTCCTAATACAAAAATAAAAATATTTCATAGCATTAAAAGAAATGTTAAAGCATTTTTCTTTTGCATTTGTACGTGAAACTCCAGTATAATGATTTTCCAAGAAAAACGTGAAATTCTTAGAAAATTTTTTCTAATTTGAATCACTCTAAAATCAAATTAATTAAATTTACAAACAACTCAACTAAAACCCGATACACTATAATAATAAAGCCAACCATGACTGTATAATGGCTATAGTAATAATAAATTACCAAATAATTTGACCCTAGAGGGAGGTGTTAGGTGCCATCTCATAACAAACTTAATAATTATAATTTAATTAAATAATTTTAGATTAAACTGGAAGAAGAAAATCAGCTTGGAGCAAGACTCAAACCTGGGGCCATATTCTGGTCACCGTCTCTGGTCTCTCGTCTCTCACAAGCTAGTCACTGATTGGCTAATCCAAATGATTAGCCAATCAGCGACTGGCTTGTGAGAGAACAGAGACTGTGACCAGAATACAGCCCCTGCAACTGTTGTGGGTTCAAGTCCCACCCTGGACCAACTGTATTAAAAAAAAAAAAAAAAATATTGTATTATTCTAATGAAAAGAGGAATAACAGAAAAAGATTGTAAGGATCATAGTATCAGTGTTCTTACTATGTCCTTACAATCTTTTCAAAATAATAAATTTTGATGCGTGGTCTGAAGCTAAAACCCTTTATTTCTGTTTCAGTCCAGCCATTGGAGATTGTTTACAAACAGTTGTTTTGTATGCAAATGTTTAAAATATAGCACAACAAATAGTGTACGAAACAATAGTGAAGTATGACATTTTAATGAGTTACTTGATCCACAATGAAGTAATTTGTCAGAAAAAGCAAATAATTTATAATAAAACAAGATAATTTTCTGTGATTGACTGCTACTAAGTGAGGTGGTAACTTTAAACTTGAAGAAAGTTGAGATGGTAAACTTTTCAAAAGATTTAAATATGATTCTGAATTCTACCAGTTGTATTTGAAATTTCCCCATGTCAATTTGTTAAATACATACAGTAAACTCCCGATTATCCGTGCACGAATTTAATTTAAAAAAAAAAATTGTGTGTGTATGTATTTTTTAAATAGTTGTTCGCTTTCATGTTTATGCATCTTATAAGTGTGCACGTGTTCGTATTTAGATGTTTGAAGCGGGTGGTGGGGGTTTCTGAAGTCAGCTGGACTGGTTTTAATTAGGCCGCTTCTTTCGCGCCGGACGTTTCTTTTCGGAAAAGAAAATGATAGTGAGTACATTTATACAAAGTTTTGTTTAGTTGCATGTTATAATATGTATTACAATTTAAGATTTGATTATATGTACGTATGTATAATACATATTATACATAATATTTTTTTCAAATAACTTTCCCACAAATACTTTTAGTGTAAAATTACATAAAATAAGATGTTTTTTAATTTTCAGATAAGTACCCTTAAAATGCCTAATAATCGAAAGAAAGTCGTACTTACTATAAAACAAAAACTAACGTTAATTGAAAAATTTGAAAAAGGTGAATCTACATGTTGTATTTTAGAAATAAATAATTATAGTTCGGATTATCCGTGCCACCTCTCCCTACCATTAGCCCGGATAATCGGGAGTTTACTGTATTTACATCCCAAAAATCTGAATAAGTTCTTTTTATATATACTTTGGCCAAAAGATGTATTGAGAGATAAGTTCTAAGTTTGATCATCAAAAAACCAAAAAATGTTTACCAGGAAGATGTTCTGCAGAGTATATCTGTAAATGTTTGATTTTCAACATAGCTCTAATGGTAATATAAATTATTGTATGAGAATAATATAACAATAGTTCATAAAATATTCTATGTACACAATGAGCTAATTTATTTTTAGCTGTATTGTAACACGAAAGAAATAATATTGAGTTGGAGAGACCCTGACGGACATTATGTAGATTTTTTTTCTCTCATTTTATATCCTTTACAGATTTTGATGGTTGAGTTAAACTTTTTTCTCTGGTCTCCTCTTTGTGAAGATTGTCATTTGAAGTGTGACCGATGATCATTGAAGCTGGATTTGTTCTACAACAATATTGCAGTAGTACCTTCAACCCTACCTCTGTTTATTAAGTGGAGTGAGCTATCCAGCACTATCTGCCAGTTTGAGTCTTCTAAGAATACCGAGTCAGATGGACTTCGATGACAACATGCAGGTCTGTTTTTCGACTATAATTGTTTTTAACTCTTTACAGGTTGGTAATTTTTTTATTACTATATTAATGTGATTTTTATTAAGTTTTTGAATGTCTTAGTCCAGCTCTCGTGGCTCGTGTTGTTTTATTTACTTTTTATATGTTGTTTCACACGTTAAAGTAGATTTAATATAAAGGAATCCATTTTATAGTTTGATAAACACTGTTTTTTTTTTTCAATTTAAAATTTTTAATTCCTCTCCATGTAAAAATATTTAAATATAGGAACTTAAGAGAGCTCCCATATTCAAATATTATCTGTGTAAATTTTGAAGATTTCTTTATTGCAAATTTTCTATTAATAAAATTTGTCTGTGGTGATTTCAATTTCAATTTGATATAATTTAAAACCATGCTGCTCTTAGTTGGATTCCTCAGAGGTATTTTTTTTTTTGTGTGTTGGCTTTCCAACTAGGTTCAATTCTTTCTTGGATCATATTTTTCTATCCATTTAAATGTTTGTTATTCTTGTTTTGGAATTTCATCTGGACATTCTGCCATCTGTTTAGAACTTGTTTTCATTAAAAATCTTCATAGGTCATCTCATCAGTCTCTGATTCTAGTACTGGTGTGGAATCTTACAGATCAGAAACATGGAATATTTAGAAAAAGTATTTAGTGTATTTAAGTCATCCCACACCTTTAGCATTTGGCTCCAAATTCTTTTTATCATATTCTGGTTTAAGAAAAAAAGAAAAGAAAATTAGAATGCAAGGCATTTATTGGGGAAAAAGAGGCATTTAAAAGAATCATTTACTATTAATATTTACCATTAAATTATTTAATACAAAAATACATGCACATGCTGTTTAGTTATAACAAAAAATTATAACACTGTAATATGTTTAATTAAACAATAATGTTTTCTTTTCAAGAGTTGATCTAGTTAGAGGTAGCAGTAGCCTACTGAAGGCCATTTAGGGAATTCGTTAGCTTATGGGAGATTGCAACTTCATGTATAAGACTATCTATTATAGAAAGCTGTTGTAATCTCAGTCCCAAATAAAAGTAAGGCAGCATTGTCAATTATAACGCTGTAGCACATGAAGAAGTACTTCCTATTACCTTTCCTTGCATTCTGAAATATCGAGCTGGAGCTTGTTACAAACAAGCAGTCAAATATAACAGGTAAATGCACAACATATGGGGGGGTATCAGTGCATCACTGCATGTAATGTGGGTGTGGTTAAATGTGCAGTTAGGTTAGCAGGTATGTATATGTAAAATGATAAGATTTAACAAAGAAAGCAAACAGCATTATATAAAACATAAAACACTACAGATACATAAACAAACATTTACAAAACCCAATAAATTTGTAAAGCCAAACAACCATCGGATCCACAATACAGCTTGATCCTCATGCCAAATATCAGACGAAAGGAAAGAAAAGCTCACCGAGTATGGCATTAATTGCTAGTGTTTTCAATGAACTTATGTTCATCATTGTCAAGTGAACAAAAATTAAAAATAAGAATTAAAATAAAAACTGTTATGAGCATGCTACCAACTTCGATTACACTCAATGTTCAATTCTTTCCTTCTAACCACTGGATTTCATCGGGCTACTTTTCTGCAGTTATATTTAATTAATTACTAAATAATTTTTCACTAGAGGGAGGTGTTAGGCACCATCTCTTATTAAA